TTACTGATTCGTAGTTGTCAATTTACAACTTGAAATACTGATCCCTATTTTACTTTTGGGAAAGACATTTAGATAGGATATTATAGGATATTAATATGCATTATGGTTGCAACTAAAACTTAAAAGTACAGGCAACAAATTTTTGCTCATCGCTCATCAAATATTGGATATGCATGTCCCAAGTGATACTCGACTAAGCTCTCTGTAGTCTGTGGGCAATCTTTTTCTACAATCTACATTATGCTTTCTGACTTTTTGCCGTGTTCATAATTTGGTCTTCCTACTACCTGTCCGTCTCCCTATGAAAAATATACCAGTATCCTGTCTCTGAAATTTTCCGTCCTCTTTGTCGAATTAGTCATCAAGAGTGTCGAAACGGCACGACTTGAGAACAGGTAAACATACTCTGTTATGACTGCCTTTTGAGGGCATATTTCAGTCAACAGTGGTGTGCATGCATGGAGTTCTGCCCAGGCCACAGATTGCAGTATCAAATAGACTCTGCTTATAGCGGTAAATATTAGTAATCCAGCTTAATATTTGGGGCTTGATAGCTGATGACTCTTTAAACTGACTAAGCCGGGAAGGAAAGATTGTTTCCCAGATGATGAAGGATAAAATTAAATTCATGTGGGTGTTCTTGTAGCTGGAACAACAGTGTCAGTAATTTTTTCTGTCATTCTACTTGTATTTGAGTCTTTTAACATCTTTTTCTTATAAAAGTATACTAGATATGTAGCTCATTGGCTCTTCGATGATTCTCAGGAATATGGGTTTCTAAGGATTGAAGTTTGATCTATGATGTTATATCACAACCAATGAAACCATTGTGTTGATTGCCTTTTTGTTGGTTGATGCTTTTGCAGTATGCGTGAATTGATATTCCCCCCTCCCCTGAAGTCAATCTAGTAATGAGTAAATTTCTACCCTTGTTTTAATTTCAATAATCCCTGCTATCAAACAATCACATTTCTAGGCAAGACCTTGCAAGTTCTATCACAGAAAATATATCCCAGTTGTTGAAATTGTCTGCAGAAGCCATAAACTTTTTTCGCTTCCATATCCTATCCTCTCTTATTTATGTGTACAAGCTGAAGCTAGTTAATAGTGCGCACCTCATGAAGAACTAGAAAATATTTAATATAAATGATTATTTAAATTGAGAGTGATTCCAAATATTTAGGTGAAAATGTGTCTCTACTATAAGCAAAGTTCAAAATAATAAGGGTTTTAACATAATTTGTGTGATTCCAAAATCACCCTTACGTTTTTCCACATCTTCTAAATTGATGTTTTGATACATGCTGGAACTTAAAGCGATGCATATGACGAAGTGAAGTGAAAGAATTTTATGCATATGCACGGGCCACACATAATCAAGAATGTCAATAATCCATAATCCAATTTTTATAATAATTACAATTTGTTTTTCGTATGTATTAGGGCTTACCATGTTTCCATATTGTGTAAGACACTTGAATCCCTTGCCTTTTCCTCTTTCTGTGCTACTTATGGCTGTATAATTTAGACGATTGATTTATATGGTGGTTAATTGTTAGGCACCAAAAGGGGAGACAGCATCTGGAGTTGACCGTTCGACATTTGCATTATTCATGCAGCCTGATTGGTACTTCTGCGGACATAAATCTGTTTACATACATAGCTGTTCATTTCAAGTGGGTTTCTTGTCATCAAAAGTGTTCTAAATATTTGCCAATTTGAAGCTCAGTTTTGAGACATTTGATAAACAAGCGGCAGTCATCAGAGCAATCAGGGTGTGGGAATTAAAAAAATAGTTAGTTGCAAGCATTATGTTAAGCTCTTAAACATTTTACATGGAAAATAACTTTTATGCTTTAACTAGTATTAATAACTGTTAACAAAATGGAGATATATTTCTTTGCTCTGAATTTTCTGATCTTGCTTGGCTATTTCCTAATAGTTTGATTGCATAATTGAACTAAAATGATTCATTCTCTGAATGGTGGTAAACCGATAAATACTGTTTCACTTTGAAATAATTATTATTAGTTTTTCTGTCACAATCATATTTTGTATACAGTTAAAATGCTACCGAAGTAAGTTTCAATGCTGCCTTCTGTTGTTCAGCAAGTGGCCTTTTGACGCTTGACTGGCCAATATATGTATATTTTTCACCTGTTAGTATTGCCTTTGTCCTTGGTTGTTGCAGTTGCAGCCTGCAGGTTTGCTGTGGCTGTTTGATTGTTCCTTTGAGCCCTAGCTGTTGGGCCTTCATTGGGTCTACTGTTTTCTTCATACCATTGCCTATCTTCTGCTGTCAATCTCCTCAGTCTCATCATGCAACAATTGTTGCCTTCTTCGTTTCCCCTATCTAAGTTGCCTTCCTCAGAAGTTTGGGTCTGTTACTTTTTTGGTTGTTGGTATTCTACACTAGTGATGTTGGGTGGTTTATTTGTTGGTGGTATGCATTGGGCAGTTGATGGTGGTCACTGCGTCTCTGGTGACGACCACTCCGTTAACTGTTTGGGATTTCTATGAACCATTTGTTGGTTGCATAGTTTTGTTGCTATCTCGCCCATCCTTTTTTTTTTTTTTTTTAATCCCAACAGTGACATTGTTTCTGCTAGTCATTCACTACTTTGGAGATTATATACACATTTAAAACAAGTAAATAAAAGTGCACCTCTTCTTGTTTGAATCTTGGGTACTTCCTCCTTTGATAGAAGTTGGGATTGAAATGATTAACATCTTATGGGTACTTTAATAGTCATAAGCATTCTAATCAGATCAAATACCCATCAGAGAAGTGAAAGGGAACTTTGGTTCAAGTGACATATGGAATGGATAAACTAGTAAATGCATGCAAACACCACCCGAAATTTTTCCTGTGATCAGAAGCTCAGAACGTTCTCTAGTAAAGTAGGATATCTAGACTGCAAATTTCGAATTTGATTTGATTGTAACTGAGTCACTTTCATACTTTTAAGTTGCTATTGTCTACACCTGTTTTTAGCATCTACATATCAGTTGATCTCCATCTTATATCAAGTTCATGTCTTAAATGCATATGATTTGTTGTTGTTAATTCTGTTTCAGGGATGAAAACCTCAATTTTCCAGATGTGGTGAATATTCACCAGGAGGTGAGTCTTTAGAATACTTAACTACTATGATAGAGATGTGATTCTCGAAAAATACTGCACTGTTTGCTTGCTTTCCAAGAATCCACAAGTGCTAACCAACCAAAAAAAGAAGAGACAAGGATTTGTTGCACACCAAAGAAGAAATTTTCTGTCATTTTTGGCCTCATATATCTTTGAGTTCTTATTCAGTATCTTGCCCTCCAGTGTCTGATATTGCAAAATCATTTATGTTCTCGCTTTTTTCTACAGAGAGAATAAAAGTTTATCCTAATGCCTTTTGTTTTCCTAATTTTTCCTACAGTTTCTCCAGCCTAATGGATCTCTTTCCTTCGGAGAGTACACAGAAAAGCTGCTCGACAAGTACTATAACCTTAAATCTTAAAGCGTATTCTGTAGTGTAGAGCTATTTTATAGTTCTTACTATTTTGGTGTCAAGAAACTAGTAGATGTGGTTTCTTGTTCACCAATATTAATTGCATTTCTTCAGCATTGTTAATCTCTTAAATGGTTCCGAATATGTTCTGGTACTGTGGTATCCATGTCTATATATAGAGATACAAGTTCCTTGTATTGAGCTTACTCTTAATTGCCTAATTATAGATATATATGTAGAAATCAGATATATTTGCTTACTAATAATTGCCAAATTATGGAATTAGTGAGGAAATGTTTTTATCAAACATCGGACTGGACCAACTTTGTGTAGTCCTTGCCCGGACAAGACCTGTCATTTCACATTTTGGCGAGTCATGCACTTAATAATGTACAAATTATCAGTGGCGGAGTCAGTGATCAAATTTAGAGCCTGTTTAGGAGTGATTTTTCACCAAAAAAATTGATATTTTGGCTATTATTTAACTATTTCAATCGTTATTTTTGACTTCTTCTCTCACAGGTGGCTCTCACTTTTCTTCTAACGGTCAAAAAATCAATTCTCAAAATCCTTACCAAACAAACCCTTAGTAGGGATAAGATGTAGCTAGGAAAAATGTTTCATAATGGATAATAATGCTAATATTAAAAATATTACGAGCTCTTGCATTCTAGCCTTTGAAAGCTGTCCAATCGGAATGTTTATAATTTTTTTCATACAAGTATTCTAGCTTTGAACAAAATCGTATTCTATTGTAGGTGAATAATAAAATATTTTAGATTGGGATTGTATTATCTCTATTCCATTGAATTTGAGACCTCGTTTTGAAAAGCTGATATGGCACTATCACTGGTAATGTTTACTAGAATAAATTAATTCAAAGCGCCTCTACAATCTTAGTTATACTAGATTGAAATAATACGCTTTCGTGTTACAAAAATTAATTTGGTAACATGTTACAAACTATTTTGGGTGTACCAACGACGTGATTCTGGATATTTAGAGCACCAGATTTCTAAAAGCAGCACCATGCAAATAATGTCTGACGATAAAAATCACTTATGAATGAGTAAACTTACTTATTTTGAAAACTCATTCATTTGCTTAAGAAATGACATTATGTCAGTGAGTTTTTAAAATAAATAAATTTTTTTATCAATCGAATTAAAAGTAAGTTTCTTAATTTGACAGTATAATATAGAGTTACTTTAGAAGAATAATTTTTTACTTATATAATTTGGTTTCACTTACTCGCAACTTTCGTCCCTTCGTCCATTTCTCGTCGCAAATTTGTTCAACCCTTTAAATAAACAAAAAATGACAAAGCAACTAAATACAAAAATTGCAATAGAATCTCAAATTTTTTCATAAATACAAATAAATGTCTCTCTTTATTTATTGACCATGGACTATAAAATTTATATCAAATTATAAATTGAATATTTTCCTACTTAAAAACTTAAGCACTCTATTCATAATATTAAAACGATCTACCAATAAATGCAAGCTCAAAATAATATCATCAATTTTATAAAAAAGACAAATTAATATCTTATTTAAAATATCGTGAATATAAATAAATTTAATCGAAATACCAATAATAACTAACAACATGTTCACTTGGTTTAAATTAAAAAGAAAAAAGGAACAACTTCTAGGAAAGTCTCTATAAACTTTGTGGTAGTCCTGTATCAATAAGTTTTCCATTGATCTCTAATTTTTTCATTAATGTTTTTGTATTGATGATGAATTATTTTAAATGTGTCACGAAATTCTGCGAACTTCGGAAAATTAGATGGGTAAAGAGAGAAATTTGACATCTCTTCGTTCCAGGCTCAATAAAGTACTGTGTCATGAACTCTCATTGCATATATTTTTTATTGACAAAAAAATAGAGTTCATTAAATTTTATTTGGAGTTATATTATAAACATAATTCTAAAATATTTTAACATGTGTTTGAAATCAATGACATGATTGTCTCTTAATGTTAATATATACGCTATATATTTTAATTTGCAAGACGATCATTTACATTTCCTAACAAATTTCATCCTACTTTGAAACCTCGTATCAAAGATATTCAAGCTAATAGACTCAAACATGCGGGAAATTTTGGAATCATACGCGTATGAAGAACTACATCAGCTGCAACAAACGGTGGAGGAAAGTATGAGCAAGATTTGGAAAAGACAGGTATTGTTGGTGATCTATATTGAACCACGTCATCTAAAAGTTTAACAAGACACGATTTATTTATTAAGATTTAGTTTTCAACTTGTCCCTTGTATGTCTATTGGATTTATTATTATCATGAATAGCTTGAAATATGCAAAATATTGATGAACAAGTATAGGCAATGTTGGGCTGTCATGACCAATGACCTTTTTTGGGCTGTGATGACAAATGGGCTAAAGCCCAATAACTGTTTTATCAATTTAGGCTCTTGCCCAATAACATGACCCGATCCGCCTCGGCCTAAATGGTAGATAAAACGTGTTTTGGCGTGGCATATTTTAATGCAGCCAAACACGCCTTTCTTCAGTTAAATGGATGCCTCCTGACCGTCGGATTAAATTTGATCTAAGGGTGGTTTTTGTGGTATATATATACTTGGCCCCTTTTTGCCCTAATTCACTTGGACCGTCATTTTCTTCTCTCCAGCTGCGGCTGAGGTTCCAGAGTCTTCCATACTCTCTCTTCTTCTTCGTGAGAATCCAATCTCTGATTGGATCTGGTTTCTGTGTGATTCCGTCTTTGTGATCCTTAATACTGTGTGTATTGGAGAGTTTGGTGTGTGATTTTACCCCTTGTGGTTTCCTTTAACTGATAGAGGAAACCCTTAGGGTTTGGGGCGATTGGTGTGGGTCATACAGAAGGGTACAATCCTGTATTTTCTTGAGTCTGAGCCCTATTCTAGAAAGGAACTTCATCTTGATGCCGTGTGGTTTGAGTTCTCTGTGAATGACTGGAGGATTTAATTTTCTGCCTCTTTTCTTGTAATCTTTCTTGTTCATTTTCTGTGGTTTTGTACTGATAGTTTGTTGTAACAGTGGTATCAGAGCTTTCGTCTGGCTCGTGTGGGTGAATCGAACCACATCCTTACCTGTTGCAGTGGATCTGGTAAAATCGTTTTAGACTCAAAACCCTAGATCTTGAGTTCTTTGTGATAAATCTCTATTTCTTGATGAAACACTGCTTCGGTGATGTGAGTTGTTCGAACTTGGGTAATACTTGACTGCCTCTTCGTGGAACCGTGTGTGGTCAAGTGTAACGACCACCATTGTGGTTTTAATTCTTGAACTTAAATCTTTATTGCCTTATTTCTTCGTTTACATGTCTTAGTTGACTGATATTCTCTGTTAATTGTTTTGTGAATTTGGAATTTCGTACTTAAGCAATAAACTGTCTATACTTGTTTTTGTTAAGAGTAATACAGTGTGCTTGTGTACTTAGCCTGAAATCTGCCTATATTCATATGGTAAAAGTATAGTTGAGTTCTTTAGCTACTGATCCTTGATGTACTTGAATATTGTAGCAGTTTGTTCTGTTCTTATATTCTGTACTAATATCTCTCCTAATTTTTTATTGTATCAAATAAAACATCTACCCTTCACCCAAGACTTGACCTGAGATCTTGAGTCTCAAGGAATCCTGGTAGGGCAGGGTAGTTGATTTCTTTAACTTGGTATTGGAGACAGTGTGTATTTTAAATTGTTATTTCCGCACTTACACACATTAGGTTGCTTTGCCTGTGTTATGAAGAATCTCTGTTTCTCATCTGTATGTTGTGATCAAATCAGAAATTACTGAGTGTGACCTGTTTGATCTAGAAAATGACTTCCAATAGTTTTGAACTTGGGGTCTTTAATGGGAAGGGAGATTTTCCTATATGGCAGCAAAAAATGAGAGGGGTTTTAGTACAACAGAAAATCTCTAAGGCAATAACAGGAGAGTTTCCTGAAACAATGACACAAGATCAGAAAACTAAATCAGATGATTTAGCCTATACCTCAATAATTCTCCACCTATCTGACCAAGTTCTAAGGAAAGTAGGGAAATTAGAGAATGCTAAGGCCTTATGGGAGAAATTAGAGGAATTATACTTAGTGAAATCCTTACCTAATAAACTCTTCCTTCTAGAAAGGTTCTTTAGTTTTAAGATTGATCCAACCAAAGACCTGGATGATAATCTTGATATCTTTAATAAATTGGTACAAGATATCACCAATGCAGGGGATAAAATTTCTGAAGAATATAAAACAATAATACTTCTTAATGCTATACCCGAGGCATATAGGGATGTCAAATCTGCCATTAAGTATGGCAGAGATACTTTGACTCCAGAAGTTGTTATAAATTCCATAAGAAGTAAAGAATTGGAACTTAAAACTGAAAAACATGAGAAGGAACATGAGAGTTTGTACATGAGGGGAAGGCAACCAAATAGGCAAAATAATAACTATCCAAACCAAAACAATTCTGGAAACAGTAATAGGAAGAAGTTCAGGAGTAAATCAAGATCTAAATCAAAATCTAGGAATAACAGAAAGTGCTATGGCTGTGGTAAGCTTGGTCATTACATAAAAGACTGCTATAACAAGAAAATTGAACCTAAAGAGAAGAATGTTGATGAGGGGAATGTAGTTGAGCCTGCTGAGCCTAATACAGTTGATGTATATGTGGTGGCTCAGCAACCTGATCTGGAGGTGGCAAATTATGCCCACAACAGATATGTATATGAGTGGATTTTGGACTCAGGCTGCACCTTTCATATTACACATGAAAGGGCTTGGCTTCAAGATTTTAAAAGGCTAGCTGGTGGTGAAGTAGTCATGGGAAATAATATAGCCTGCAGAGTTGAAGGCTTAGGAAAGGTGACCCTAAAATTTGAAAATGGATACATGTATACCCTAGAGAGAGTGAGGTATGTCCCTGAACTCAAAAGAAATCTGATATCTATGGGAGAATCAGATGACCTAGGGTTGTGTGGTAGGATTGGAGATGGATTGATGAAAGTGATCAAGGGATCTCTTGTCATCTTTAAGGGTGTTAAGAAAAATGGAATCTATGTAGTTAGAGCTGAAATAATACTTGAACATAATGCAACTATCTCTAATACTAAATCTGATTCCACCTTAAAATGGCATAAGAGGCTTGCACATGTAGGTGAAAAAGGCCTCACAATTCTACAAAAAGGGGGGGTA